TGGAAGTTTTCATATTTCAGGGCTTTTTGCAAGGACTTCTTTGGCAGCTTGGTCAAATCATCGTCTGTTCTAAAACCCAGCATACACTCTAGTATGTGTACACTGCTCTGCACATTTGGCTCCCAGCTGGCTGGCGTAACGTGCCCTAGGAGGGGAGCAGCTATCTGCTGTCCCAGGGCCATGTGCATTTTCAGTCTTTGCTGAAGTATTTGCCATGTCTGGTTTGCAGAGCACTTTGGGACAACTTTGCTCTGCCCTGGATAGCTGTGAAAAGACAACCCCAGAGGCAATGGTTATTCAAGGCAAAGCATAGAAATAACTGCTTAGTGCACAACCCTGGCTCTGTCAGACAGTGGAAGGCAATGACTTCCCTGTGGGAACAGAAGACAATGGGGTTGGACAATGCATTGGTTCGAGCAAAATGAACAGTAAGCTTGGCTCTGCCTTGAGCTGTGTGCAGGTAACAGTGTGGGCTACTCCTGCTGTGCACAGCCTGATGAGCAAACTCCTCCTTCAGAGAGGCATGGACCCCATGCAGTCAGAGATAGTCCTAAAAGCAAGAGAACCAGAACAAGCTTGTTTCATTGCTCATGTGCCAAGCATCACCCAAATGTGAGAGGCTTCACAGGATGCTGGGAGCCCTCCTTTACTTGTGAGAGCGCAGACGTGCCCGGCAGGCACTGGGCTGGAGCAGGAGCGTGAGAACGGAGACCTTGGCTCTGGCGGTGTGGGCTGCAGCTGGAGGCAGCAGGGCAGGCACCCGCGGCAGCCTCTGAGCCTGCTGCGGAGGCGGGACGGGCACAGGGTCTGCCCGAGGTGTGGGGAGCAGCCCTGGCTCCCTCCAGGGCAGGCTCCGGCATGCCTCGCTGCTTCTCCCATGGTTCAGACTAGCTACTGCCTGGGGCTCTGGCTCCAGCCTTCTTCCTCGAATCCTGTCAATGAGGTGTTCAGACTTCAGCAACTGGTCTGAAGTCACTAACCTCTCCATGAGGTTCGTTCATGCTTTGGAAAACAGGATGGAGGAGGATACCTCCTCAGAAACCTCGAGTACAGCATAAAAGGCACTGGAAAGTAGGTAGTAGCCACACTGCTGGAAATGTAACTGTGTTAGGGTATAAGCAAGGTGGGTAGTCCAGAAAGGGGGACTATCCTTAATGAGATTAAGTATTCAGTTGGAAAAAGCACATGCTTTTGAGTGCCCAGCCCTTCTTTCAGTTATGTGAAGATGGGTCTGCATTCCCCAAAGCCGGTCTGCTTCTGTAACCTGTATTAGTTGCTCTAACAAAAGGTTTTTCCCTTCCTAGAAGCCTTTGTCTTGCCTATGGAGACTCTCTGTTTTGGGCTGTAAGTTTGTCTAAGTCATTCAGAGACAGGAATTGCAGTGAAATTCTGCAGAGTACCATCAGTTTTGTTTGTACCTTACATGGCTGGAAAGCTTTTCTCCAGAAAGAAATTTGGATTTGGAAAAGCATCTGTATCCCAGGAAACTTGAGTCATGCTGGCTGCCTCCCTCTTAGCACGGACCGGGGCTGACTTACTTCTACTGCTGAACTTCTGCTTGGTCTCTTGAGGCAGCCCCACTGGGGCATGGCAGAGAAATGCTCAGAAATAGGGGAGGGAGAGATGGAGCTGTTCTTGCTTTTGCGCCAGACCTGTTCTGGGGACAATGAGGGCACTTGCTTCTGGCTCTGAAAACTTGTTTCCTCCCAGAGATGTGAAGCAATGAAATGTCCCCTGCAGTATCTCTGGATCTTGGTCCAGTATCATGATGCAAATCAGGCCTCGGCAGCATGCCACCGTGACTCTGCAGCACATGCTCTTCCTAACCCTCTGCCAGCCTGCTGGTGCAGGGTTGCATGCATGTATAAGGGGAGGGCAAGGAGAGGTGGGAAAGGGGCACTTTTCCCTAGAGCATCAAAAAGATGATCTTGTCCTGACATGCTGGCTGCTTAGAGGAAGGCGTGTCCTCAATGCCTCACTCACTTGGCCACTTTTGCTGGGAAAGGAAAGGTCAAGTTGCAGCCCCAGGTGAAGGTGGGTCTAAAGGCACAGGCTGAGGTTTGTAGCTCTGGGGTTTTTACTTTGGCAAATGAACTAGCTGAAAATCATAAAAGAAAACAGAATTGCCCAACAAAGGAAATAACAATATATCCTTTTTGTGTGTGTGTTTTTTTTCCCCTGCAGTAACCACAACTCTCTCCTCCTGGTCTGGGCATGCTAGAAAATGCAACGAAACAGCCAAGTCCTATTGTGTCAATGGTGGGGTATGCTACTACATCGAGGGGATTAATCAGCTGTCTTGCAAGTAAGTGAGTGTAGTTCTTGTGTCAATATGGAAATTACTTGGCTGGGGGAGAGGAGACCTCTGTGCAACTGCCGGAGGAGGGGTAGCTCTGAAATTCTCCTGGCAATTGCAGTTTGAGCTGTGCAGGTTCAGAAAGGCAGACTAGAGGGGCGGGGGTGGGGGAGGAGGGTTCATCTTTTCTTTTTTGTGTGAGTGCCACTGTTCGCTTTTCCTGACTCTTCCTCTAAGAATATGTTTGTTCTGGCTGTTTCCTTTCCCTTTCTTCCCTTTCTCCTCTGCAGCTTCAGGGAAGATCGGGTCCCTTTTGCTCTCCCTGAGCTAGGTCAAAGCTCCGCGTTCCCCGCTGATATGTCCTCCCCTCCAAGCAGGGGGGCTTTCCCCAGTGCACAGCCACCTCCCTCCTCCATGACTGGAGGGGCTCCCTTGCTGAGACCTGCCTCTTACCTCTCCTGTATGCACCTCATGGGCCCAGAAGCAGGTTTAGCACACAACTGTTCACCACTCTGTGCCACTTTGTGGCAGGCTGTGGGTTGTTTATTTCTCCCCTTCAAATGTTAAAACCTGCAAAAAAAACCCAGGGAGACATACTAAATTATCGTTAAAATGAAATTTCTTGGAGAGGTTAAAGTGGGGCTGCATAGTCTGAGGGATGTGGAATGGGATGTGAGAGCTTTTCACCTCTGGTTCAAACCTATCACAGCCAGCAAGCCCAATAGCATCTCACAGCTCACCCTCCAAGCCTAATGGGGACTGTGAATGAAAAGTGCAGTCTGCTTGCCAGTGCTGGAGATGTAGGTACCCAAAGCACACCTGTACCTGTCCCTGGGCTCCTGCAGAGTGAGCATGAGGTGGTGCCCTGGGTGTGCATTCGCTGAGCAGATGCAGTCAGCTTCTGAGCTCACCTGGGGATCCAGGCGTCACTGTGCCCAGCTTGGAGAAGCCCAGAGATGACTATTTTCTCCCTGCGTGGCCCAGAGACCTCTCCGTGGAGATGCACAGCCAAAGGTATTTACATCTGTGGATGTCAAGCTAGTATCACTGCCACTGCATGGTGTAATGCTCACTAGGCACCTCAGCTCTTCAGGCCTTGAAGGACACATCTGAACAGAACCATCACCGCGCCTGGAAGGGTTGCGAGCTGGATTAGGCTTAGCACAACTCCCTTCTCCCAGTACTCCTTTGTTTTGGCAGGGAGCAGTAGGAAAGACCCTGTGGAAATGCATTCTGCTGAGCTCCTGTGCTCTCACTTTCCAATGCAGGATCAGCTGTGGTGGGAAGGACACAGGATGAACAGCACCTTCCAGTTCTCCCAGGCTTGCCCCTTCAGACGTGAAAAGAGCCGGGTAGGACAGAAACCAGATACTGTGGGCTTCCACGTTTCCCATGTGCGTGAAGTGAGAGCAGCCCTTGTACACCACAGACCTGTGCTTTAGGGTAGTCGTCTCTGCCATTGGCTTCTTGGTGGCACTGTAAGTTCATCTTGCCAGTGTTCCCCATAGGAAACACGGGGGAAGCTCCATATGATGAATCAAAGCCACAGCCACTATTCTGGTGTAGCTGTAGCCCCAGGAAGCCCCAGCAGTTCCAGTCTTCCCATGCTGCGGAGGGCTCAACCCTTGAAGCCTGGAGGAGTGTATGAATCAATATCTCTATCTGTAAGCAATGTGGTGGTGCCAAAAGCATAGATCTCAAGGCTGTTTCTTTTGGGAAGAACTTGAATCCAGATCAAGACTTTTCAAATTGGATCAATTTCTAATTACAGCAAGAGTTACCTGAACTCCTGCCATACGCAGCTATAATGGTAAGGCTCCGTTTTTCCTAATGAAGGATACATGTGGTAGTTATCAAGTGTCTTCAGCAGATAGACTGTTTTAACCAAAGTAATTCCAGCCTTGCGAAGAAAGAGTCTACCTTCAAACCAGGCTGCTGTGACAGCTGATGAACAGAGGGGAAGCTCAGTGATGGATTCCATTAAGATTTTATGTGCCATACGAAACAGACCTAATTGTTTCGTATCATTTGAAAGCCTTAATTCCTTACTTGCAGATGGTAAAATGATTTCCTTTTCTGATGAGTCCCAAGATACCAATTGCTAAAACCAGATGGGAATTGAATGGGTGTGTATGGAAGGGCAGCAAATTGTTAACCAAAAGGAGATGCTTTGAAGGTCTGCACTGTCACTATTCATCTGCCAGAAAAGACAGTTCTGTGTTAACAGGAACCCAGGGGACCCAAGTGCCTTCCACACAGTACAGTCACTTCTGATCTTACTGCTTGGGGAGATATCTGGATGTTCATTCTCCTTGGGTGTTTTCATCATTAAATCGTAGACTGAAGATAAGAAATCCTGGCTTTTGAAGTGGTGTAATTTTAGAGTTTCTGGACTCCAGAAGGCAATAGTTAGTTATTGAGGAATGCAGAAGCATTTGGACTCAACATAGTGTTTCCCATAAAATGGCTTTCCCAGTAACATGGAGGATTCTTGGGGAAGGCTGATGATGGATAAACGGACTTCACGTTTGCCTGCCTGCAAACTAGCAAAATGCTGAAATGTTTCACAGCTTCCTTGTTGCACCAAGACAGGAGATCTACCGCTGTGGTTTGTGAAAGGTCCAAAGATACAGATTCGGAGGAGAAACTAGAGGAGGCAAAGATGCAGGCTTTGACCTGCGTTTCTGAACTCTGTAACATGGGAGCCAGCCTTGGTCCTCCAGCCACGCCATGCCTCTGAGGCATGAGCACAGAGGAGATCAATAGGTCCTTCTGCACACAATGCCTTGGAGATCAAACAAGCTGCGTGAGCATCTTGAGCCAGGAGCAACACGTGTCCGTGTGCTGTTCCCACTTTGCTATTCTGATTAGAGTCAGCAGGGCCCTGGGGAGTCTTCTGGCACCGTGTGCCAGCTTGCGGTCCTCCTTTACTGAGTGCTAAGGAGACTCTAGCACCCTGGCACCTGTGTGATGTTACCAGCCTTTCCAATACCAGCTATCAGAAAACAGAATTTTAGAGTGTTCTTGTTCACTACCTGCCACCATCCTCTAATCAGCTTCCTGGAGTGGATTTCATTGTTTGCAGCTGTCCACAAGCATAGGAGATCCTTCCTGTAGATGTTACCCCTGGCACTCTGGAGCAAAAAGAGCAGCTGGGTTCTCAAATGATTTCTTCTCCTGAAGTGACTCATGCTTGATTTGTTACAGATATTGCCTAAATTGGCAGCTGGCCTTTCATTATTATTTTTTAACAGGCTTCCCAGAAACGTGTTCCTCCTGGTCTTTGTGCTGGTTTTGGCTGGGATAGAGTTAATTTTCTTCCCAGTACCTAGTGTGGGGCTGTGTTTTGGATTTGTGCTGAAAACAGTGCTGATAATACAGGGATGTTTTCATTACTGCTGAGCAGTGCTCACACAGCGTCAAGGCCTTTTCTGCTCCTCACCCCACCCCACCAGCGAGCAGGCTGGGGGTGCACAAGAAGTTGGGAGGGAACACAGCCGGGACAGCTGACCCCAACTGACCAAAGGGATATTCCACACCATATGACATCATGCTCAGCACATAAAGCTGGGGGAAGAAGGAAGGGAGGATGTTTGGAGTGATGGCATTTTGTCTTCCCAAGTCACCGTTACGCATGATGGAGCCCTGCGTTCCTGGAGATGGCTGAACACCTGCCTGCCCATGGGAAGGAGTGACCGAATTCCTTGTTTTGCTTTGCTTGCGTGCGCAGCTTTTGCTTTACCTGTTAAACTGTCTTTATCTCAACCCACGAGTTTTCTCACTTTTACTCTTTGATTCTCTCCCCCATCCCATCGGGGGGAGTGAGCGAGTGGCTGGGTGGGGCTTATCTGCTGGCTGGGGTTAAACCACAACAGTCCTTTAAATTCTGGGGAACAAACTGCCTGTAAACCCACCTCCTCCACCCCTTTTCAATACACTTCAGCTAGACCTTGGACAATGTGTTTTCCTAACTGGGGAAGAGCCCAGAACGGACTTGGAGCTGTTCCAGAAATTGTGTCTTTTTTGGATTGTGTGCTTGCATAATTTTGTCCTTAATTTGAAGTAAATTCTACACGTTAGTGTCAAAGGAAACCTGAACATGATACAATCTGTGCTGTTATCCTGACTCTGCAAACAGACCACCTGGAAGTTAGATGGGAGAAGTGCGATCTGCCTCAGATATTCTGCAAATTTTCAGCATAAACCCAGGAAACGACTAAGCCACACACATACAGAATTGACTCAACAGCCCCAGTAAATTAAAATGCCCCAGGCTCTTGTTGACAGGAAGAATTTCTCGACCCTTCTCCAGACCATTTTGCTCAGAGAGGCCTTACGAGTTGGACTGGTTTCTCACCATAACTGTAGGGAAGTGGCGAGTTTGAGTAGAGCAAATTCCAGTGCCTGCAGAAGGGATGCACACAAGCAAGTCTCAAGGCCTTGAGCTGGGCTGGGACACAGAAGAG